TAGTCAGCCGGTTGGTTAGCGGAACTTGCAACTGTAACGTACGAGAATAAACGACAATGCTGGCGTGAGTGAATTGTGCATACTATAAACCAATGGGTGAAAAGTTATGACGGTTGTGTTTTTTTACTTGAACAGAATCTGCTTGAACTTAAGGGAAAGAAGCCGGTTAGCTTAAACTAGCTAACACAAACGTCATCTGTGAGCCACCTCAGATACCCACATTGCATCTGCGACACGTGTAGTAACATATTTAGTGTAGCGTGAACGTGATTTAATGCTGGAATGTGTAGATCTGGCAACAATCCACTCCTAACCGTCGTAGATTGAGCTTTCCAACAGCGGTGGGGAACGTGAGAGTAGCTCGGGTGAAAGTATCGTTACTGTGCTAAAAAGTACTCGAGTAACGTGAGAAGTAAAACGAGTCATCAAAATAACTTGTGAACTAGCACCTGTATTTGTTTGTGATGAAATGACAACTCATTTCCTGGAATAATGACCTACAACACACACCACGCAGTAAAGTGTCAACATGTTAGTGTCCTTAAACTTTGATCTTTCCAGGTTAGATGTCCTAAGTCCCAGTTCCATCACGAATGGCCACAAATCACATCCAGGTCTCTAGAGTCCCATGAAGACAGAAAGATTAGCCAGAGAAGTGAACAAATGCACCTCCAAACAGAGAAAAAGTAGTGATTCTCCTCTGCTTAAGAGAGAAACATATGCTGCATCCAAACTACTCTACAGGTCCAGTTAACTCGAGTTACTTGAGTAAATGTAACTCGTACCCACCTCTGCCTGCTAACATTTACTTATGACTAAATATTTGTCCGCTTTCCTTTAGAAATGCACCCACACAACTATAAATTTGCATGGTAATGTTAATATCGGTGGTCTGCAGAATGAAATATGGACACACATTTAAACGCATCCTGGATGTCTTGTTTTCCAGATAAGTCTATCATCATGTGGAAGCTGACCCGTGATGAAACCAACTATGGCATCCCCCAGCGCTCCTTGACGGGCCACTCTCACTTTGTAAGTGACGTGGTCATCTCCTCGGATGGACAGTTTGCCCTGTCCGGTGCCTGGGATGGGTGCCTCCGCCTGTGGGATCTCACATCGTAAGTACAGACAGTGGTAATCTCTCAAGTACTGATTTAGATTTTCAGGGTTTAAGGTGGTTAAGTTGTTACCTCTGAATTTGTACTGTTGGTGTTTTTTGTTCATGGGAAAGTGTCTTCATTTCTGCTAGGAATTCAATTCGGTAGGTCAAACCGGAGAACATATTTAGTGCAAGTTGTGTAGTCAGATTCTGGACCTGCATCTGGGTTGAGTAATATGGCTGACTTGTGGAGCCAGGCCTTTCTTTAGACACAGCGCAGTGGAAACAAGTCTGGCTATGAGAGGCTACCAGCTTGTTATGAAAGCCATTTAGTGTCATAATGTTACTTGGCAGTAAATGTGCTAATATGGACCCGAAGAGCTTACTTTAAGCTGTGCAAGAAGTCTAATAACCACATGTGTGCTTTAAACACTGATGTTAAAAGTGGTAATGCTAAAAATGCAGAGTCACCCGACTGTTGCACCCGTTATTGCTGGACTCTGCATCCACAGCTTTGTAAATAAAGGTATGCCGTGTTGAGGTGCCATATTTTTTTTTTTTAGGTCATGGATGACGTTTTCAACGCAAGGATAATACATTACACGTGTACATTCTCTGGGTTAAACACCCACTGAACATTGGTTTAAGAATTTGTTCTCAACAGGTGTAGCTGTGTTAGACATGCTTACTTCTATTTTGGTCTTAAAATATGCAGCACTTTGGACATGTTTTGTGAAAATGTTTGTTGTGGTGTCTCCCCAGTGGCCTCACCACCCGCCACTTTGTTGGACACACCAAGGATGTTCTGAGCGTGGCCTTTTCCGCTGATAACCGCCAGATTGTGTCTGGCTCCCGGGACAAGACCATCAAGCTGTGGAACACTCTTGGAGTCTGCAAGTACACCATCCAGGTGAGCTGTCGTATCATGTTGATGGGATTTAAGATTAAGACACCTCGACTCATGATTAGACCCTGGAGACATGGGGCTGGACCGTGAATGTGGATAATAAAAAAGGGAAGACTAGGACAGCACACCCATTTGACTTTGTAATATTCCCACACAGAGGTTTCTGGCAAGACGCTCCTCAGTGTGCCAGAATACACACTGAAGAAGGGGTCTTTTGAGTAGCACGTTGGTCTCTTTCAGTGTCAGTGGAACTACATTTCAGTGAATTTAAATACTGGTTAATGGCCTTGTGCCACTTGGAATTAGAAGTCAAAATTGAGCAATCCATACTGGTCAAAAAAAACAACTGGCCTTTTAATATGGAGTTTCCTCAAAAGGCCAAATGCTCTTCACCCAGCCACGATGGCCCTGTTGTAGACTAGCTGTCTACAACAGTTGGGTCTTATGTCCAGCGTGGTCATGCTTTACTATCATAAACCAAATGATGCAGTGACTGGTCGGTTGAAAATGTATATAATCTAGTAGGGGTGGGTGAAAAAATCGATACAGCATAGTATCGCGATATTTTGCGTGGCGATGTTGTATCGATACACGGACGCCAAGTATCGACCTTTTATTATATAAACTATTT